TTGCAAGAGTGCCTTAGTATCTGAAAATGAAATAAAATCAGGAAAAAAACAGTAGCAGAAGTGAAAGCACACATGAGGATCATGTGTAAAATCAGGAAACTCTCCCGGATGATTTGTAAAAGCAAATTTTGAAAAGGACCTGTTTTTAAATGTCAGCTTTTTGAAAGACACGAGGCAGAATGAAAAGGAGATCACCTTGAGGAGAAAGGAAGCTTGACTTGTAAGATTTGTAACCCTTTATATGAAAAGGTAACTTAGAAATGTAAATAGCTTTGTATTAACTAACATAAGCCAAAATTTTAATGAACCTTAGACTGAAGCAGAAGGCCATTATGTCCTAAGCCTGCAAAAGGATGAGTGAAAGAAAAAGCCTCTGGCATTCAGTGACACTTTCCCATCACCTGCAACTCTATCAATAACATATTGCAAATTTTCACTCATCTTCAAAAGCAATATGGGTTGTGTATCATGTCCATGTATCATATCATTATATCAGATTATAAGCAGCAATATGCTGAGATACCTATTGTTTTTTCAGTATCGTTTGGAGAAAATGAGTATTTTATAAAGAAGTATTGTGTTTGGTAATGTAGTCTCAAAAATACATTATGCTAGAGTGAAAGCAATCTGTACACATTAGCCATAGGAAGTTACATATCACAAGGCACTAACACACAACAAGCACTAACAGCTCAGCATAGTCAGAGTTTAAAGCGTGAACATTATGTGTTCCTATGTACACATACAACATTTGGTTATACGGATGCCTTGTGAGCTGGTCAGGACACTCATGGCAATATTTTCAGTTTCCATAAGGGTGTGATAGACTGTTCTGTTATCTACCCTCATATCTTCCCAAGTTTTTGTCACAAATTCCTTTTTTGCTAGAATAAAGAGGCGACCATTCACATGGCATTGTTCTCACAGGAGACATGCAGCAAAGATCAAGAACCACTAGCTTAGTGATATATGAAGTCCGGGCCAACATTTTTGGGGGTTTCTGGACAGTTTAGTCAGAGAAAATTAGCTGGAAAGCACTTTCCTGCCTCAGTCCAACTTTCATTTTTAGTTTATAAATGTAAAATTCCTCAGAATCTGATGACCTAGGTTGCTAGTTTTAAAAAGAAAGTCTTCCATAGGTACAACGAAGGTCTGGCCATTTTGAGAGAGGAGAGTGGAGTGCAGCCATTTGCGTAGTGACACCTGTATTGTGTAGTGCTGTAGTGACACCTACAGCCCTTTGTAGGCTTCTTTCCCATGAAAACAAGGTTCATGATGTTACAAAGTCTGTCCGTCAGTCTTGCTGCAGTAGAATTGTGCACACTTAGGCCAATTTCCTCTAAATGTGACAGCGAGGTAGGGGTCTCAAAGTCAGGAAGTGTCTCTCCAGATGTTGCAAAGGTCATCAGCAGTACAGAGGGAAGAGACAAACTTAATGCCCTACTGAGAGAAAGGATGGAGCGTGAGCTCAGCTGTGACCTGGGCTGTTTCAGGAGACACGATGCATAGACGCAGCCACAGCATCCATTTCCTCTTGGGCTGCAGATACATGGGACACACTGAAAAGAGATCAGCAAGTGGGAGGGGAAGCAACTGGGTTTTTTGGTATCTTCTCATAAAGACACCACAGTAACACAACAGATGTTCCACTTTGTTCATCCCCGAGTTACTCCTTAATACTCTATTAGCTTATCCTTGTTGTGGAGTTGGCTAGAGGATAAATCCTGTCCCAGCCTAACAAACAATGCAGCTATGCAAGCTTTTGTCTTTGAAACAATGCAACACACTGCACACAGCGTGAGGCAGGCATGAAGCCACCTGAGATTAGAAAACCTTTTGTAGTACAGCTGGAGGGAAGAGCAAACAGTATGGGGGAGCTACTAGTCACCTAGCTGCGCTCCTTAAGTATATATCCTACTTGCAGGGGATTCAAATATTCTGCTGAGAAACGAAATGTGAGTGCCTACCCAGAAAAAAACAGCACTAAAAGCTCCCTGTGGTGGCACAGTGACAAGTGACCTACCACACTATTTATTAAGAAATAAAAAACCTGAATTAGATCGTGGCACTGTTAAGGAAGAGATGAAAATGCTATTTTTTTTTCAAAATAGGTCAAAGATTTTATTTTTAAGAATTAGCCTTCATATGAGCTCCATTTCTAAATGTTCTTGGGCCATGATTTGGGAAAGAAAGCATACATGTCCCATCTCTTAAGTGAAAAACATTTTCCTAAGTACATATCCTACATAACCTTTCACCTAAAATATTACATTATTTTTCCAACTGCTTTCAGTAAGTGCATTCCACCCGTGAGAACCATTAATAATGGTACCATTTTGGTACCATTATTTTGGTGCCAGCACTATCACAATAGCTGAGCTGTGTAAACAGCACACAATCACCACATATTGCAGCATCTTCGAAACTCTCCTGGCAGACCAAAGGGAGTGAGGAGGAGATTTGTCATGTGGGACAGAGAAAAGGTTTTGTGAGTTACAGCAAGTAAAATTCTATGGTGAGACAGAAAGTGAGGAGAGAGAAGAGGAAAGGATACTAAGAATAAGCTTATGGGCAGAAGCAGGACAGCTGAGGCTACAGTAGAGAGGAGGGTGGAAAGACTAGAGAGGGAGAACCCCACTCTCCAGGGTTTTCCTCCTACCCTCCCAGCATGGCCAAGGAGGAAACCATTTCCAATTAAACTAGTTCTTTTCTTTGGATGAACAAAGAACAAAACCAAGGGTCTTTGCACAAAAGAAAGCACTTTTCAAATGTTTGGGTGTTTATTCTCTACCCAGTCTTCTTTAGCAAAGAGCTCCTGAACTGTACAATGGATAGGATGCAGTAGCGATATTCCCCTATACTCACCTTAGACTTTCCTATAGCTTGATAAAAGAAAGTGTTGTATCCAGTCCTTTTTGAGTACCACACTCCAATTCTTCTTTCACAGAAATAACAGCCTGACATGAAAAAGAATCCCCTCTACAAAGTCAACGTTTAGACTCTTTTTGTAAAATAGGTCCAGTAACTTACTTTAAGAGAAGTTTACATCTGCAAGAAACCCATTATTATCGACATATGAAATATCTAAGGAATCTCCACTGGCAGTTCTGATAGCTAAAATATTTTATCCTTCCGGAGTACAGTTTTAAAAACTTTTTTCCATGTCATGTTGTGTACCGCACAGTTCTGAATTAGAGTGTAATGTGTGAAGTAGCTGGCAATTTTAATGAGCTCAGAATGGACACCTTACTCTCCTGAGATTTTTAGCTTTACAGCTAAAGAGCAGTTGATATTCTATGATGTTCAGCACATTATAATTGCCATCATTTAAAGAAGTATGGCATGTGCTCATTTCCAGCTGCTACAGTTTTTTTATTTGTTAATCCTTATCTGAAGCTTCATGAAATGTGCAGCCTTCGGACAGTCATCTTTTCTTCCATTGTTACGATGACTTGACATCACATCAGCTGAATGCAGAAAATGTGTTATTTCAATATAAATCTCTTCTGTTTTTCTATATAAGAACTCCATTACTACCCAGTTCCTGGAAAGGATTCTCAGAAGACAGAAAACAATCTTTTCTCGCACTCTTATCTTTATATTTCTCAAATTTCTCCCTTTCCGAGGGACAACTCCGTTTTGTGAGGCATTAGTGATACCGTAAATCGCGAAAGGAATATACACTATGCTCTTTCATGAAGATACTAAATTTAATTTTTACTCTGCAGTTTTCTTTCATCTAAAATAAATTGTTCTACAGATGCTTTGTTTTGCCAAGCATTGTAATGAGGAAGTATATGCATGTTAAAGCGAAGCCATTGAGATAAATGAAAATCTTGCAATCTCATGTAATAAAAGCAACAGAAAAAGTAAAATACAAAGTTCATGGCACAAAGCTAGTCAGTCAGCACCAACAAAAAGCCCAGATGAGCTGAACATTGTGATAGAACGAAGCTTCTCAAAAGCCTAATCTGTAAAGTACAGAAGTCACTTAGTAAAATCAGACCTCAAGTACATTTCCAAGCTTCTGAAAGCAATGGAGATATTATCATTCTCTGAGGCATGACAGAGGCATTGTAATTTGGATACAAGTATCTTTCAGGTGAGCTTGCTCTGCATAACTCTTGGAAACACTGAAGAGAAACAGGTAATTACTGGAAGGCAGTATATTTGCATGCTAAGATCATGAGCTGTTTCTGCCCTTCTTCAGGTTACTGCGTCCCTTCTACAGGGCTGAATGTTTCCCTTTTCCAAACATCTGAAAAGCAAAACAAACAAAAACGTCTCCTTATGAAGGCAGGAAGTAATTTCTTCAGTTCATTTCTCTCCGTTGTCTGCTTGCACATATTTAAGATAGCAAGCATTTATCTAAGGAAATCCTTTCCCAGCTCACAAACATAAGCCCGCAGACTTACTGAGCTTTGTAGCTGATAATGCCAAAACACACCCCATTTTCCCCTCTCAAGGAGGGGGAGAGAAAGATACTGGAGAGAAAGAAAGAAGGAGACAAGGATGTAGGAAGCGGAGGATCCACAAACTCCATCTTCATTTTATCTCTAGTCTGAGACGAGTATAGAGCATCTCCACACTCTCTCTAAATAACCTCTCCCTGAACGACTTGAAATCCCTGCGTGTGGCCTCCCACTGAACAGTGTCAGCAGGCAGCAGCAGGCTTTCCATCCACTTTCGAGAGGCTTTTGCCAGAAAATGGGCAGAGAGGTTTATGAGAATCATTCATCTGTAAACAGAGAAAGAGAAAAGCAATGAAAAAATCAGCCTGAGGCAGGGGCAAGGGTAGGGAAGACAGCACCCTCCTTCGACTTGGTGTTGTAAAGCTGATTTGGGATGACCCACGGGCTAGTTGGTGAGGTGGTATTTCTGCCTTCTCTTGCTTGTTTCTATCAAACACAGGTACCACAGTTACCCATAGTCTCCGTTGCCTCCAGCTGGGCTGAAGGGTTTTATGTTTCTGAAAACTACGCCTTAAAATTCTGGTTACCTCAGTTCTGTTTTTTCTTGGAAGCTTTTATTTCTGAAGGAGTAAATTTTCTATCAGCCTCAAACATTCCTCTTGGGTACAACTGCAGAGTGGATGGAGTAGCCTCTTTGATGGCATGGTCCGCAGACATCCTCTCTTTTTCAAAACTAAGGATAAACACAGGACGTAATCAGGGCATGTGGCGATAACACTTTCACGGGTCTAAAACAAGAGAGACCTGACTTCCTTAAGGAAATTGCTCACAGCCTGTTGACAGAATGGAAGGCCTAATCGTAGCAGAACTATGAACAGGCTGAAATTACAGCGTAATGTGCTGAATAAAAGAATAAACGCTGGGGTGTTTTTTCCCCCCTGAAAAAGATATAATTTCAGAGGACTGCAGCCTTCTTATACACAGAATAAGGACAATGCATAATTTTTTTAATGTTTGAACAATGTTTTGCCTGCAGTCACTTCTCTTGACAAAAATAAGTTTTACTAACTGATTTATGTATAATGAAAAAAGGTGAATGAACTTTAGAAATGCCTCTGCTCAGTGCATGTGCAGAAAAGCTTGAGAAAATGAAACTGCTCTCCAGAAAATAC